TATTAATTGCTTGTTAATGGGCTTGTTACTCTCCCTAGTAGGAAACAAATGGTGGCACACATAAGTTTTTTTTTTTTTTTTGATTTATGAAACAAATCCCATGTAGTCTCCTGCTTCTATTTTTTTTCTTTCCTTTTTTTTTTTTTTAATAAATATGCATTCCGTGGAAAGCTCCAGGGCATGTGTCCGTTGATGTTTGAGAATAAAGAACATGCCATCCTGTACCTCGGCAGGAAGTGGCTGCCCCTGAAGCGGCAGCGTGTGGTAATAAGGGCACTCCGTGTGCGTGCTCTTGTAACGCCCCGTTGATCGGGGCCGCGCGAGCAGGCGCCGAGCCAGGCGCAGCAGCTAGACATAGCCTGGGAAAGGCCTCTCCTTGCGCTGCGGTGCCGGGCAGATGTGCGGTGGGTGTATGAGCTGCGTAAGAAAGACTCCAGCCTCTGCTCAAGAAAATAGGTGTGAATATTAGGAATCAGCCACCTGTACGCTCAGTTACCAGGGAGGATGACTAGAGCTTTCAGTTCATTGACACAGGCTCACTAGTTTCCCAGGTCACCCAATGTTGCTCTCAGAATACATTTACCAAAAAAAAAAAAAAAAAGAGAGACTTTTTTCTTCTGTAATTCCCTTCTTAAGATTTTCTTGCATTGCTATTAGTGTACAGAAGATGAGCTAATATGCTGGCCCATCTTTTTAAATGTAGAATGAAGACTCATTTATGAAAGAGGTGAGGTTTTTCTCTAAGGGAGGGGGGGCCAAATTCAGCTTGCAACACCCACTTGAAATATTTATATTTTGAATTAAAATATTTTTATTTGGATATACCCCTGCGTTGTTTCTCTAGTGTAGTGAACATATGTTGTATATAGTAGTCTTTATAGTAGTATAGTAGTCTTTATGGTGTCGGAATTATATTTCATAGCCACCATAGTGGCCCCATAAAGCAATATGACACCTCTCCCCTGCTGAATCATCTGCTTGTCATTTCTCAGAACACAATGGCTATATCTAAGATACAATTTTCTCTGTCACACAAACTTTTAAAATATATATATATTTAGTCCCAGGGGGTGTCATCTTCAGTCCAAGAAGGTTTTGTTTTGTTTTTCAGCTAAAACTTCCCATTGGCACTAAAAGAAAACAGTACTTTCTGCCCTCCGGTGATTTTTCTGTTGTGCTGGAAATCAATTCAACATGCGCAATTCTTGTTTTAGTAATCCCAGTGGATTAGAAGTTTTTGAAAATAGAAGATAGGCTTGAGTTTTCAAAGACTGAGCAATAAGTAGTAATTTTCATATCCAAGTGAAAAGACTTTTAAACTGTGAAAATTGCAGTCATTTTAACACTATTTACTTTCATGGTTTATTCAGGTATTCAGAGATCACTTTTTCTGTTACTGATTAAAAAAACATTTTTAATTTTATGCTTGTAGGATAAATTCTGTATGAAATGAAATTTGAAACTCACCCGCTGTTCCTAGAATATTCCTGAAACTTGTTTTCTTCTGAGGAAGTTTATTATGACTGAAAAAAAAATCAGAAACCGGACATACACAGCTTAGTCATTATCCCCAGTGATAAGTGACTTATTTGCTCCTCGTGTTAGCTGATACTTTTCCAGCTCCCTGTGGATCAGTGCCATTGCGCCGCCGCCTTTCGGGCTGGCAGCTGTGGCACTGCGCAGGGCTGGCAGCGGCACCGCTGTGCCAGCGCGCGGGCTCTGCGCTGCTGGGGTCAGCGCACGGCGCTGCGCCGTGTTAAAGATTACTCAGGCTGCAGTGCAGCAGGCGCCAGCCTTCCCTTAGACCTGACTGCTGCAGACGATGCAATTTCTTGAGGACTTGTCAGCTCTGGTTGGCTGGCTGCTCTTGCGATAGGGCATCATTTTTCAAGGGGTGGCATTTGGCAAGGTCTCCTTTCTTGAAAGGTGCCCTGCGGTTTCAGCACCTGCAGGGCTGGTCCCTGGGAGGACGGGGCCGTCCTGTGGCCACTGTTGAGACGCTGGGTTTTGGGAGCCTGGCGCTGCTCGTGCGTGCCCAAGCAGCCCTTGAAACACTGGGTTTTGGGAGCCTGGTGCTGCTCTCGCGTGCCCGAGCGGCCCATGGGGACGCTG